TGGCTTATACCCCAACTGTCAATGGAGAAATTGTATTGAATTCTTACTTCCGGCACCGGCTGTGGGCGGGACTGTGATGCTCTATTTACGACAGTAACGTTAAATACAAGTACTCCAGCGTCTCTAGGGGTTGCTGTTTGACAAAAACTGAAATTGAAATTGAAATTTGAACTGAAATTGCCTTTAAGTTAGCCTGGTTCTACCAGACTCTCGTACATTTCATTTGTACAGAGAGTCTGGCCTCGCTCCATTGAGAAACGTTTACTTCCTTGTAGGCGGGTTCTCTGTTAAAGTTCAAAACTATTGGATCTGCCCAGCGTCACTCAGGATCTGCCATAGCCAATCGCTAACGTGTGGTCGTGACGTATGTCATGCGCCGAAACCGGCTGGAAAGAACAAGTCCGAATTCCATATTCATAAATCTAAATATCTAAATGCTAAACCTCTCTTTCTTATATTTGTGAAAGAATTTTAAAAAATACCTCTTTTCAATTAAGTTGTCTGAGAACAAAAAAAGCCTTAAAAACATTATCTGTTTGTAATTATTTTCCTTTTTTCAGTGTCATGTAATTCTCTTAACTTGTTCATGTTTATTTTATATTATCCCCCTACTGTTTTATTTTTGTTTTGTTTTTATTATTATTTTTTGTTTGTTTTTGTATTATGTTTTCTGTTATTACTTGTGTATTGTTTTAAGCAATAAAAAAAAACAAGTCCGAATGATCAGAGGATTATGTTTAGAATAAGATGTCTGTCAAAGAGAGCTGCATGTTTTGTTCATCGAATTTAAGAGTTCAAGGAACAATTCTAAATTCTAAATGTATATTTGACACTAATGACAGTGATGTATTCAATCAACTGTCGAAGCTGGGTGTAATCATTAACAATACGCCGCTGCGGTCGTTTCGGATCTGCCGCAAATGCTGTAACGTTACAGTGATCATCGTGCACGCCGAGCTGCCCAGCACCAACTCCTAACCTTTCTGCCTCCCTCACTTGGTCCTCCATTAGTGCAACAAGAAGAGACGACAACAACTATCGGCTTTGCATCCTATCGTTCGCCTTAGCTAACTCATTCACCACTAGCGGAGTGAGCTGGAAAATTAAACTTTTCCCGAATCATGGCCACCAACAACACTTAGCAAACATTGATCTTGCTCGGGCTTTAACTTCTGGATATTCGGCAGTTTTGCAACAACGGACCGAATAGATTTTCTCACGTCTTTCTCCGCTGCCATTACTGAACTCCAACTCAAACTGACGCGCTACATCAACGTCATCGTTCTCAGCCACTCCCTCTGTTCGCTGATTGGACCGGTAAAAAAATTATTTCTGGAAACCAAAGTCTACAGCACAATCCCAGACGTAGTACTGAAGGAAAATAAAATTGAGCGGAAGTGCGTAGGAGGGCGGAGCCAGGCTACCTTTAAGTAGGGTTGGGTACCGAAACGCGACGTAACGGTAAACGGACGTAAGCGGTAGTAACCAGACCGAATAAGAACGAAGATTTCGGTGCCTGAGTCTCTGTGGTATAAGGCGGACACACGCAAAGTCTCTCGCTCTCCCCCTCTCTCTCTCCGCCGTGCAAGCACTATACGGTTTATTGGAGCACTGTCTGTTCTGTCTCACATGCGCGCTTTTGCTCGCTCGCTCGCTCAAGCGTCTGCTGATAGCGAGGGGATTATTGTAGATGCCGAAGACAAAACGCTCCAAAGTTTGGCTGCATTTCACGTGTAAAATTACGCGTCAGAACGATTGTCTGAAGCCCATATAGAATCACGATTCACTCTAATCATTGGCTGATGGCGCGGCCGCCGCCCCGACGCTCACGTCATCGTATTATATTAGCGCGCGCATCATCTGCTCCTCAGATTTCTCTGCCGAAAAAGGAAGCTTGTCGGCAGCGCGAGGAGTTTGGCAGTGAACGCAGCGTCTCGTTCCCTATTCAGAGAACATGGGTTACACCAGTAACCAGAGACGTCCTCTTTCATAGGTTTACTCAAAGCTGCATAGCTAAGACGCAGTGGGAACGAAATACCAAACTTGCCAAGCTAAGCGCTGCATAACTAGTACAATGATCAGATAACTTACATGACTGGTATAAGCAGACAAAACATGGGAACCTGGAGCCATGTCGATATTAGATTACCCAGGTAGTAATCTCTGTTAATCTCCAGTATTATTACATTGTTTAAAACAATATTGTTTTATTTGATAATATGTAATGTGAATTTTTATTTTATATTAGTTTATTTATTATTACCATATGTTACTTGTATTTATATTGTTTAAAGATATAACTTAATATTGTGTCCAGTTTGGCCCTGTAAATAAAGGGGTATTATTTTTTGACAAAGTGTGTATATATAAAATATCACTAAATTAGGCTATTTATGTAGGATTTTGGTGTCACGATTACATCAGTATAGCTGCTCAATTCATCTGTCAGTCACTACTGGAGGTGTCAGAACATACAGTGACATGTTCCGCGACTCGCTGTTGTGTCAGTGTGTCGCGATAATGTCCGTGGCACATGCCACCATCCACTGGCACTGAAGACCGGATGTGTCACTAAGCATAGCGACATGTGTCATTGGCTTCTGTGCGTCAGATGCCATGTCACTTAATGTTAATACCACCTGTCGTTACGAAGCCTATGCGCCGTTTGTGGTTGATATTATGTTTACTCTTTTGTATGTTCCCATTCTCTGCAATAAAATAAATAAATAATTAAAAAGCCTATGCGCTGTGTAGAAAATACATCTTAAATGACATAGCAGCACACTAGAGGAGCTTAATGTATACATATACTAAAACACTTTCAAAAGTTTTCCTGCTTTTTCCTTCATAGAAATCGGATTTCAATATAAAACTCAATTTCTTTCTTGAATGATGTAAAGAAGTGGGTTTTTTTTTTTTTTTTTACAGGAGAATGTACATTTGTGAACATGGAATTTTGCCATTTGAAGAATAAAATGTATTACCGTATATACCCGAATATAAGACGAGGTTTTTGTCCTAAAAATAGGCTGAAAAATGGGAGTGGATATTTGAGTGGAGAAATCGATTGATAGCATTTTTTTCCCGCGCCGTCGACTTGGAAAAAACGAGCGCGTCGCTTTCATTATGAGTGCGCCTACATTTGAAATAACGAACTTGAGCGCGCAAAAGACGCGATATGTGAACAGGGGGGGCGGGTCTCTGCTCGCTTGTCTCCGTCCGCTCTGGCATCCTCTGTGAACGGCGCTTTTTCTTGCGCGGCCACGGCTCGAGAAAGAGCGGGAGCCGGATCGTCATCGAAAACGGCTAGACGACCCCGCAGGGTGGTTAAATCCATCCCGTCGCACTCAGGGCAGCCGCAGTCATGGCCAATCAGGAAGCGCATATGTGCCGGTGTTGTGCCGAATTTCGATCGACCCCCGCCAAATTATTATCCCCCTAGCATGGGTAGGTTTAGGATTAGTTGCGGGGGAGGGGGTAGGATTAGGGGCGGGGTTGGGATTAGGCAATTAGGTACTGACTTCAACGAGGGGGGTAATAATTTGGCAGGGGGTCGAAATTAGGCACAACACCGGTCTCCGCCGACGAGCGAGCCTCTACACGAGGCTCGGGTGATGCGAGGCATTTGGAACAACGCCTCGGAAATTTGCTCTTAAAATTATTTTCTGTTAAAAACCAGATTTTTTCCACAAAAATCTATTTTTCCCCAAAAATAAGTCTGGAAAATGGGGGGGGTCGTCTTATATTCAGGGTCGTCTTATATTCGGGTATACACGGTGTATCAACCTGACTGTGCTTGTCTCTACAGTTCTCCAAAAGACCAAATAATAATAACAGTACAATAATAATTTCCATAACAGGTTATTAACAGCACAAATTGGCCATAGCCTCTGCGCTGTACGGTGTAACTTTTGGTTGTTTTTTTACGTCACAGGGAGGGGAGGGGGATTTGGCTTAATGAGCATATCCGGTCAAAAAAGTCACCGCTCACCACTGAAATAAATATCACTGATCCATTCACTGTTCTGGATGAGAGCCAACTGCTTCTATAACAAGTTTTTTATATCTTTTTTGTGATTATATATATTATTATATAAAAGTAACTCCAACTCATTTTGAACGACTTGTTTAACTGTCATACACACCCACTTGCTATAACTGTTCAGTTAATCCATTTTATGATTGTTACATACCTGCATACTTGCGTCTTGTGAAATAAATGTCTTGTGTTTTGAGTCCTCTAACATCCTCCTGTCTGAGTCTCTTTGTTGTCACACATTTATTTCAATAAAAATTCCAAATTCTATACAAATGATGTGTGTGTGTGTGTGTGTGTTTGAGAGAGCATGTTTGTTCCAAATTGCATTTGTGCTCTAGTACCAGGCCTTAGTTTTTGTGTGGAAATTTTCAGATTTTCAAATACTTAAAGTGTGACAAAATTTACTGAGCATTAACTGCAGAGCTTTCTGCGGAGTTCAGAAGTTGTAAATTCTGTCTACAGTTCACTCATTAAATTTGAATCACTCTACATTGGCAGCGACTCAAATGACTCTTGACATCTGAGACTTGAGTTACTATTTGAGATCTGTGAATTATTTTTTTATTAGACTGAACTATATTCATTTTTTTTATTGAATTACATTTATATTTCTACTGATTCTTTGAAGAATCTTTCATATTTTCATCTATTTACATCTATTTTCATCTTAAGACTAATTAACTTTATTTTAATATTAGAAACACACCTACTCATGCACTTCATTGTTGACACTTGTATATGAACTCCTAGACTATTTTTAATAAAGTTGTTGCATTTTAATATTGGGATATAAATGCTTTCTGCACCCAAGACTTAGTCTCATTGTCTTTTGTTAGTAGTTTTTAATTTTTTCATCACATTATGGACCACAATCATTTAAATAGGTATTTCACCAATTATTGACCATAGGCTCTTTAGGACTACCTTTAGGACTTTTATTTTAGTTTGGCGATGTGACGTCATAAGACTGCGCTGCGCTGCTGCCTCTGTTGTGATTCGGCTAATAGGTTTGTAATTTTAAACGTTTTAAAAGTATTTAAGTCAATGCAAACCTTCCAGACAATTTACAGCTTTTGCAAGCGATGTAAAATTATTCATTATTATTGAAAGAAACATTTGAATGATTTATCTACATTAATGCTCATCCACACATCAGTAACAGAAAAGGTGCGTCTCATTTCGCTCCCTATATCGTCAATCAGTTTATTGTAAAGACGATTTCGGTCGCTGGCGAGTGGTGATGGAGAAACGGAGCTTTTGAATCCCCTATTCAATCGAATCAAATGTTTAGCGAAATGATTCAGTGATTCGAATCGCCGCACGCTGGTCAAAACAGCTGTAGATGCAAGGGGAACATAAACATGTAATGACAACTTCAACAAACGAATTTGTATGAAAGTCTCTAGAATCTACAAGTCAGTAAATACCAGGTGTAAATCCTAAATGCCTTAATACAAGAACACATACGTACAGACTCTTAATATTAAGTTCATTTTTTATTGTTTGTCTAAACAGGTGATTAAGTCCATTAACTCTCACTCTGACTGACTCTCTTAACACTGAACTAGACCTGCTTGAGACGCACACAGAGATTTAGTTTGGATTTATTTTTCCTTTCTGTTAATTATTCTCATCTTATTGTCCAAACACACAGAAAAAGACACTATTGTAAATAGTGACACGCTATTATAAAGATGGCGTTTATTAAAGAGGAGAGTGAAGACATGAAGATTGAAGAAACGTTTAGAGTGAAACAAGAAGATACTGAGGAACAAACAGGTTGGTTTTATTCTCAAAGCTGAACTCAGTCATTTGATCCTTATTAAAATGTCCAGCGCTACAGAAATAATTTATTTTTGAAGAATGTCATATTAGTGTACAAGGGTGTAACTTTGGTTTGAGAAGTGGGGGGTGGGGGGTTGGGGGGACACAAAATGGGGGAATTTTTTTTCCGATTTGAATCCCATTTCCTGCATTTACATACATTTAGGGACTATGGTGATACAAAATCCAGGAAATAATTAAGTTGATTATAATGATAAATTCTGCCAAAAATAAAAGTAGGCTACTAAACGATGTATAACCAAAAGAAATCTTACTTTTTTATTGTTTAATAGGGGCCGATTGCCAAGACTTGAGAGAATAATTTTATAAAGTCAAAAAATGTCATCATTAAAGACACAATATGTAAGAATTTTGTAATAAAATATCCAAAAATCACTTGCACAGTGTGATATATTTCCTGCAGTTGTGTACATCACTGATTCTTGAGAGTCGGGACAAAACATGTCCCACAAAGAAAAGTCTAATTTATAGCAAAAATTAAGAAATTCATCATGTATGACATACTTACAAAGTTAAATCTAAAGGAACTGTATATACCTATCTGATTTTTAGAATAAACTTTTTTATCTTTTTGGGGAAAAGTTGTTAAAATGTATGGTCTGTGGTTAGATGGTCCATGTTATTGCACTTGTCCTCAGCAAGAGGTTACAATATTAACCATCCCAAAAAACTTTTAAAAAGCTCTACAATTGTGAAAACATATATATCAAATAAAAAATAAGGGGTGTAAATATAAAAAACAATGCATGAAGTGAACATCAAACTATATTTTCCATAAATATCTGCCTATTAAAGTTGTGTCCTCAGTTTCTGTCAACTCCATCAGATTTTTTACAATATCCCAAAAGTCTCCAAAGATTTTTTATTTCAGAGAAATTCACATTTTAACCCTTAGACGGTCTTCGGTCATTTATGACCGGAAAATTTTCTGTTTTGAATTTCTAAAAATCACAGCTTCATCGGAATGTTATGAAACTTGGTGACTTTTATGGCATTAGGTATGTGAATACAAAAAAAATTGAGGTCATGATCCGAGCATGCTAAGTGGTCATAAAAAAAATAGTCACACTTGTGGTCTTCGGTCAAAAATGACCGACCCATAGGAAATGAATGGGAAATTTACAAAAACACAAAAATTCTCTGAATTTTTGTCTGTACAATCTACAAATCGGCTACGATTCTAAAAAAAAGTACACCGCTGTAAAGGGGTGATACTCTACAACATCAAGAGTGCAAAAAATTCACACCCACCCACACACACACATACAAACACACTTTTATACACATACACACCAATAAATTCAGATTACAAAAAATCTGTTTGAATTTTTAAAAATCACAGCTTCATCGGAATGTTGCGAAACTTGATGACTTTTCTGGCATTAGGTATGTGAACACACAAAAAAATTTAGTTCATGATCCGAGCATGCTAAGTGGTCGTAAAAAAAATAGTGACGATTTTGGTCTTCGGTCAAAAATGACCCCCATAGGAAATGAATGGGAAATTGACAAAAACACAAAAATTATCTACAAATCGGCCACGATGAAGAAAAAAGTGAGAAACATAACATAATTAATAATTATAATTAATATATATATATATATAATTAATATAATAATTATTAAAATTATTAAAATAATAATTAATAAAATGTTATAAACCTTGGCAAAAAGTATTATTTGAGAATTTCTAAAAAAATACATTCAATCCACATCTTAAAAGTAAGTGATTTGGTCCAAAAACAACTAGAATTCACAAGCATCTCCATTTAGAGCTATACAGGCATCTAGTGGTAAACCATAAATTGAGTTTTTTTTTCTTTTTTTTTCTTTTCTGAAAGCCTAGTCTCTATTTTAACCTAAAATACTGCATAGAAGAAAAATAAATAACAAATAAAAATAAAATAAATAATTCATTATTTTCAATGGCAAAAAAATGACCATAAATATTGCATAAATATTAATAAGTTCAATCAAATTGTCTCAAAATACTAAATTAAAAAGAATAAATATTATAGAACAAAAATAAATTGCATTGGTTTTACTGGGATGGAGGAAGTTTCATTTTTAGGTGTCCGGTCACTTCTGACCGGGAAGGCCCAGGATGTGACTCCGAAACGAAGACCGTCTGAGGGTTAAATAAGTGGCCGTCCAGGAAAAAAATGTCGCCTGTCAATGTCGCAATATCCGCGCTATCCTCGGTTTCCGTTCATACTGCCATAGCCATGACATAACCATGGCGACAGACGTGGACAACTGCGTAGTGCGTAACGTTTAGCGCCACTAGAGCCCGTCATTCTCTGGCGGCACGCAGTTCTTGTTTCGTTCAAACATAGACCATCCATGGCAAGCAGACTTTGGGACAAACAAGGAGAACTAAAATGAGGATCAATATCAGCGTGGCGTTTTTGAGATGCCGAGAGCTCCAGTCCACGTCCGCGACTAACTTGGATTCGACAGAGCTTCACGAGTCACGACTTGACAGCTTTATTAGACAGGTGAGCAAATGTACATAAAACAAATCAATGTTATATAACGTTAGCTCAACATGATGAAATGTTAGAATATGGTCAGTATGTTATTCTAATGTTGATCTAGCTCACTGCTAGTTTCGTATAGCAAACGAACTAACACGTAGTATAACATTATAACTTTCAACACACATTTAAATACCGTTTAGTGTGATAGTGTAACGTTAGACCAAGTGAAGCGGCGCTGCGTTACCTCACAATATTCGTCTAATAAACTAACAGGTACGACATATACAGAAATTGAATAAGGTTATCAAATAGTCTGCACTGCATAAATTATATATAGATTAATCCTTATTAAAGCTACAAACGTTCTTTAGACAAGATCAGTGAGTAATTTGCTCTATTCCCCTTTGTTCTTTGGTCAACTTTACTGACAGAGAGAATTGGCTGCTGTCCCTTTAAGATCTGTCGCTGATGACAGGATCTTTCGCATTTAATTTTCTCATTTACTCTTGACGTTCATTTAAGATTTTATTTTACTCATTTGTGACTGTTCTTGTGAGGATACAATTGACAAAACGGACATTTTGGCATAAATGTGTGTGTTATTATTCAAGCGCGAAAGAGAACTGGATTCTGGCGCGCTGTCTGTGAATGTTCTGAAGCACACGCACACGACGCACAGACAGCGCGCCAGAATCCAGTTCTCTTTCACGCTAGAATAAGCGCGATACCTGTATATTAGAACTTTCAGTGAGCTATGAGTTTAGAATGTGGACTATGGTGTGTGGACGCGACGTACGTGGACGCGGACACGCGCATCGGCACAGACTCCTGCTCCTCCGTGGCGATGACGGCGTGCGGTTAAAAAAATCATGTCCCCCCTGTCCCCATAGGAAATTACGCCCGTGTTAGTGTATAACATTAAACCCAATGGGCCCTATCATACACTCAGCGTAATGTGGCACCAGGTGCGGCACAAGTGTTTTTTGCTAGCTTCAGCCCGACGCATTTTCACATCCTGTGCCACGTTGTTTAAATAGCAAATGCATTTGCGCCCATCTGTTTGCCCATGGGAGTGCTGGTCTGAAAACGAGGTGTGTTCAGGTGCATTGTTGGTGCATTGCTATTCTGAGGCAACTGAAATAGACTGAGCCATTGACCAACTGAAACCTGGTCTAAAATTAATGGCGCAGTATTTTTTTATTATTATTTAAAGAGCGTGTTCGTAATATGTGCCTATAGGCGGGTGCACAATGCACATACACTCTTATTACAAACACAGAGGAATGTGCAGCAGAACACAAACATAGCAAATATAAAAAAATAAAAGGATTACATTGTAAAAGATTGTTACATAAAGATATGGTGCAATCTGGCTTGTCCCGTAGATGGTCTGCTTGCACACTTAACCTCGCGCACGAGCAGATCCGTTTCCTCGCTAGAGAAGCGTTCAGTCTTTACGCTGGCAAATTCCACCATGTTAATAGTGAATCTGCCATGACACATGGCTTTTAAAGGGATACTCCACCGTTTTTTCATATTAAACTATGTTATTCTCTTATCTAAGACGAGTTGATACATACCTCTCTCGTCTCAGTGCGTGCACTGAATCGCTCTGTCGGGCGGAGAGCTTTGAGAGCAGTTAGCTTAGCCCCATTCATTGTATATGGGCCAAACAGAGATGAAGTTAGAAGCGACCAAACACATCCACGTTTTCTCTATTTAAATATAGTTACACGAGTAGTTACACGACCAAGTATGATGACACTAAATAAAATGTGGCGCTTTTTATAAGCGGGTAAAATGAATAACTATAATCTATGGCGGAATAGCACTTATTGGGAGCACTTCGACTCGGCGCTGTAATATCTTCACTCGTGAAAAGTCCTCTCCCTCTCCCTCTCCCTGTCATTTCCGTCAATATCAACGTGACCTGCAGTAGTAGTAGTTTTTTGTGCAGAGTTGACGAAGTATCAGGGAGAGGGAGAGGGGGGAGAGGACTTTTCACGAGTGAAGATATTACAGCGCCGAGTCGAAGTGCTCGCGCGGTCATGAATAATCACGCGAGTCAAACGCATGGTCAAATGATGCAGCTTGTGACGTCACAACATGCGACACACCCGGGGGTCATAGTGCACAGAACGTGATACGTCAATGAGCCATCGGAAGACGTAACTATCAATCGCAGATCTACAGAACATGTGTGCAAAGACGTGCAATGCATTTTTTTTTTTTTTTTTTTTAAACGCATATTACGCAGTTTGTACAGACTGATTTGAGGGTGAAAACAACGCAACATGGGCATGTTGGAGGCTTGATCTGAACATGTTACATCTCTGGTTTTGTATGCAAAAAGAATGATTGAGCTAGCAATTTGGTTTCAGTTTCTATAGGCTTTTAAACCGTCGGTCTTAAAGGGTTAAGGATGCACTCTGCCCTGACCTACTTCCTTTCCCAAATAAGAAATTGTTGCACGAGCAAATGTGAGATCCGCCAAACGTTGAAACAAGGCTCGAACCCGACTCACATGCTCATCCCAGCTGTCACAAAAAAAATTATGTCATCTAATTAAACCGCACATCCTTCTAACCCAAAAACTATGTGGTTCATTAATCTTTTAAATGTTGCTGGAGCGTTACGTAACCCGAAACTCGTGACGGAATAAGAATATAAGCCAGACGAAGTGATAAACGCAGTTATTTCCTGTGCCCGAAATGTCAAAGGTACCTGCCATTAACCATTCAACAGGTCAAATTTACTGACATAACTCGCGGAGCCCACTTGGTCGACACAGCCCTCCATCCTAGGGAGTGGGAAAGCGTCAGGTTTCATGATTTTATTAAGTTTTCGGTAATCTGTACAAAATCTAGACGTCCCGTCTGATTTTCTCACCAATAAACACAGCGACGCCCAACTCAAACTTGACGGCTCCAATTTCTTATGCTTATCAAAAGGAACACGTTAGAAACGCTGACGTATAGGTGAGGCATCACCCACATCTACGTCATGTTCTATCGAGTGAGTTTGTGATGGAACATCTCCAAACAGTGGCGGAAAATTACATATTACCTGTGACAGCTCTGACTGCTGCAAAGCAGATAAATGAGATAAATGAGACTCGCCAGATCTTTCAGGGTATCAGAGTTTTTTAACCAGCGTATTACTATGGTATCGTCAGGAACCTTAACATCTTCCATATCTACTACAGAAGGTGGAATAGGCTAATCCGACATTGAACCAACCACTACGGCTGATTTAACCCTGTTTGGTTCACAATTGCGGGACAAATATGGTTTCAATAAATTTACATGACAGATTTGAGTCTCTTTCCTCCTGTCTGGAGTGGAAATTTCATAAGTAAGGTCGGACAGTGCACGCACAACAGCCCCAAAAACCTAGCGCAGAACGGAGAACTTGCCAATGGCAACAATGCCAAAACCTGAACCCCAGATTGGAATACATGCTGTTCAGAATGACGATCAAAGAGTTTTCATCTTAAGTTGGGCTTTTTCCAAATCTTCTCTTGCTGCTTGACCAGCTAGAAACAACCTTCTTCGAAATCCATTCACATATTCCAGCAGACTGTTTGGTGGCTGTTTACCCTTTAACTGATCACACACAACAGCAAACGGACCGTGCACCTTATGTCCAAAAACGAATTAGTTGGGATTGAAACCTAAACTAGACTGAGTGACATCTTTAGCAGCCTACAGAAGCCACGGGACCCCTTCCTCGCAGTCTCGATTTACTTCAACACAATATGCACGCAAAAGAGACTTAAGCGTTGGATTAAAACGCTCCAGCACACCCTGACTCAGTGGATGGTATGCGCTGGACTGGTGGTGTTGAATTCCCAACTGTTTTAATATCTCCGCAAACATATTAGACGTAAAATTCGTTCCCTAGTCACTCTGAATGACCTTAGGGATACCAAAAATTTTTATGAATTGCGACAGGGCCTTAACTACAGATTGAGTAGTGATTTTACGCATCACATAAGTTGGTGGATAGTGAGTACTCTGACACATTACGGTCAGCAAATATTTATTTCCAGACTTTGAAGGAGGTAACGGACCGACACAATCTATTAACAGATGCTCAAACGGTTGTTCCACCGGAGCTCGTTTTAAGGTCTGGTTAGGTTTCCCAGTCATTTGGCAATATGACAAGCTTTAATTAACCGCAAAATATGCTTTTTCAATAGCGGCCAATAAAAATACGGCAAAACTCTGTCATACGCCTATGGAATGTTGTCAGGACGAGTGCATAGTTGTGAAACAAAAGCAACATTCTCAAAAGTGACGCGGCGATCTGGCAAACTGCTCTTAGCAACGCCCTGACTAGCCACACTACGAGGCTTAAATAGGAGCCAAGACAGGATTCAGGTGTTCTCAGACTAGCCCCAATCACCAATCAAACCTGCAAAGAGAAACAAAACAATCTCAATCCTTACAATCATCCTCCGTTGTAAATTTACCATCATAAGTTATTCAAGGATGAGTTTTTTATCCTGAACTCCATGTAGCAGCATAATATTCTTCATTTTATCTTTATCTTTATTGATTAAATATGTAAATAATTAACCATTGGTCTTCAATAGTATCATACATTTGTAGATCACAGACAACAGAGTAGTTTTACATACACCTTACAGAATCTAAATAAGAGGGATCATTCAAAATGCATGTAATTTTTTATTTAGTGCTGTCCTGAATTAGACAATTTACATAAAATGTTTGCATGTAGTCCACAAGACAAAAAAAATAAAATAATAAAGTTATAAAATTAACCCCGTTCAAAAGTTGACATACCCTTGATTCTTAATATTGTGTCGTTACCTGGATGATCCACAACTTTTTTTGTCTGTTTTGTGATGTTGTTCTTGAGTCCTTTGTTTGTCCCGAGCAGTTAAACTCTGCCCAATGTTCTTCATAAATATCCATCAGGTCCTGCAAAGGGTCCTGCAGTATCTTTTGAATATTTCAACCCTTTCCAGCAGTGACAATGATTTTGATATACATCTTTTCACACTGAGGACAATTGAGGGACTCAAACACAATTAAAAAAGGTTCAAACATTCACTTATGCTCCAGAAGGAAACACGATGCACTAAGGGAGTCAGTTGTATCAGTTGTTTTTCAATTTAATTCAAATATTGAAATCAAGCTATCTTGTTTTGTGTAAACTTCAATTAAAACTTAATCACCAAAATTACCCCATTGTAAAAACACAAATACAACGAGTGAGCAAAAATTGAAGTGAGATGCCCAATACCCCCCAATGCCCAAAGTGGGGAATTCAGAAATTCTTGAGACAGTTCAGAGGACACTATTTTTCTAATAGGAACGTGGTTGTATTAAACTCAGGTTAACTTGTTTTCCTCTTTTTTTTTTGCCTTAGACCTAATGCAGCTGAAAGAAGAGAGTGAAGAACTGAATGAAATGGAAGAAAAAGATCTGTATGAGAAACATTGTGATTTCATAAATGGAGAAAATTATTTTAGTTGCTCAGGGATCGAAAAGGCTTACTCACGAAAAAGAGGTCAAAAGACAGGAGCTACAAGTAATGTCAACTGCCAACAGTGTGGAAAGAGTTTTGGTAAATATGACTACATTAAAGTTCACATGAGAATTCACTCTGGAGAGAAGCCTTACTCTTGCCAACAATGTGGAAAAAGTTTTACTCAAAAAGGACACCTTAAAGTCCACATGAGAATTCACACTGGAGAGAAGCCTTTCTCCTGCCAACAGTGTGGAAAGAGTTTCACTGAAAAACGGGGCCTTAAAGTCCACACGAGAATTCACACTAGAGAGAGTCCTTACAAGTGCAAACAGTGTGGAAAAAGTTTCACTGAAAAATACAGCCTTAAAACCCACATGAAAATTCACACTGGGGAGAAGTCTTACACGTGCCAACAGTGTGGGAAAAAATTCCTTCGAAAAGAAAGCCTTAAAAACCACATGAAAATTCACACTGGAGAAAAGCCCTACACCTGCAAGCTGTGTGAAAAGTGTTTTACACATAAACAATCCCTTGATTTCCACATGAAAACTCACACTGGAGAGAAGCCTTACACCTGCAAACTGTGTGAGAAGAGCTTCTTACGGAAAGATAGTCTTAAGACTCACATGAAAATTCACACTGGAGAAAAGCCGTTTGTATGTGCTCAGTGTGGAAAGAGTTTCAATCGTAAAGAAACACTTAATTCCCACATAAGAAGTCACACTGGAGAGAAGCCTTACACCTGCAAACTGTGTGGGAAGAGCTTCTCACAACAAGGAAACCTAAGGACCCACATGAGAAGTCACACAGGAGAGAAGCCATTCGTATGTGATCAATGTGGGAAAAGTTTCTGCATTAAAGTAAACCTTAATATCCACATGAGGATTCACTCGAGAGAAACTGTTTAACTGTCATTAGTGTGGAATGAGTTTCAAAAAAGAAATATGTATCTGTTAAATCTGTGTATATCTATGTTCACACTGCAACTGAATGTTGGCCAAATCTGATCGTTCACCTTCTTGAATACTTATTTTATTTGCATTCTTATATTCTTTATACTTGGACTATAGGCTTTTAATTTTCTTTATGTTTTCAAATATTGAACAATTTCAATTGCATGACAACGTCACTCCATTCTGAATATTGACACCTCAAAATATTAGTTTTACTATGAAATGCCAAAACATGAATGAAAGATTGCACATAAAAAGACATAAACTAAATATGAAATTAAATAATGCATGGCAATGTTTATTTCATTTAGTGAGTAATTGCACAGGTAAGCATAAGTTGCCAATCTGAACTTGATCATGACTACTGTTGGGGCTCATCTTTTAAAATCTGGAAGTTTCATGGTCAAAGTTGCTCATCCCAGATTTACACAATGCAGATTGTAGCCTAAAAAACGGCCACCATCTTCACTCTGTACATGCTACCCTTGGGAGATTTCTAGAGAAAGCATGGCATTAGTTTTCACTGTTATGCTGATGATACTCAGCTCTATATTTCTTCCCGCCCTGACGAAACTTACCAATTCACCAAATTAACGGAATGCATAGCTAATATTAAAACTGAATGATTGATGAAAACAGAGATTCTAATTATTGGACAAAAAACTTCCTCGCATAATAACTTAAATTATGTCCAACACTTGATGGCTGCTTTGCCAAATCTTCGTCGTCGGTTAGGAACCTGGGTGTGCTCTTTGATACCAATCTTTCATTCGAAAGTCACATTTCTAGTATCTGTAAAACCACATTCTTCCATCTTAAAAATATATCTAAATGACGTCATATGCTCTCAATGACAAATGCAGAACAATTAATTAATTAATTCATAACATCCAGGCTAGATTATTGTAATGCTCTTATGGGTGGTTGCCCTGCACGCTTAATAAACAAACTACAGCTGGTCCAAAACGCAGCAGCTATAGTTCTTACTAGAACCAGGAAGTATGACCATATTAGCCGGTTCGGTCAACACTGAATAGGTTCCCTATTAAACATCGTATAAATTTTAAAATATTGGTCATTACTTACAAAGCACTAAATGGTTTAGCTCCTCAGTACTTGAGCGAGCTCTTAACGCATTGTAGTCCTTCACGTCTATTGCGATCTCAAAATTCCGGCCAGTTGATAATACCTAGGATATCAAAATCGACTGCTGGCGGTAGATCCTTTTCCTATTTAGCACCAAAACTCTGGAACAATCTTCCTAACATTGTCCGGGAAGCAGACACACTCTGTCAGTTTAAATCTAGACTCTTGACCTAGATCTCTTTGACCTAGCATACACATAGTACTTTATAAACTTCTATAATTCAATGTTAGGCTGCATAGATTAGGTCAGCTGGAACCGGGAACACTCACCATAAATCCTGATGTACTTATTACATCATAAGAAGAATGGCTAATATTAGACTCTCTATTTATCCCGAAGTTTACCGCAGTCAGCCGGATCCAGGCCACACCTTGGAACCTATTTTCAAGGTGTGCGTTCTCGAGCCACCAGGCACTGTTGTTGTGCGAATGAGCGGGGATCACACTTTTCAACTTCCCCGGAAAGTCTATGCCAGGGTACTGGAGAGGAGAATTCGTCCGATAGTAGAATCTCGGATTCAGGAGGAACTGTGGTTTTTGTCCCGGTCGTGGAACACTGGACCAGCTCAATACCGTCTCCAGGGTGCTGGAGGGTTCACGGGAGTTTGCCCAACCAATCCACAAGTGCTTTGTGGATTTGGAGAAGGCATTCGACTGTGCCCCTTGCGGCGTCCTGTGGAGGGTGCTCTGGGAGTACGGGGTGCGGGGCCCTTTCCTAAGGGCTGTCTAGTCCCTGTACGACCGGAGCAGGAGCTTAGTTCGCATTGCCGGCAGTAAGTCAGACTTTTTCCTGGTGCATGTTGGACTCCAACAGGGCTGCCCTTTGTCACCGGTTCTGTTCATAATTTTTATGGGCAGAATTTCTAGGCGTAGCCAGGGGCCGGAGGGTGTCAAGTTTGGTGACCACACGATTCCATCCATGCTTTTTGCGGATTATGTTGTCGTGTTGGCCCCATCAGACCAGGACCTTCAGCATGCACTGGGACGGTTTGCAGCCGAGTGTGAAGCGGCTGGGATGAGAATCAGCACCTCCAAATCCGAGGCCATGGTTCTCAGTCTACGCTATAAGCCTAGCTAACGTTACAGGGATATTCCACCATTTGGGGAATTAAGCTCATTTTCCACCTCCCCTCGAGTAAAACAATTGTTTTTTATCGTTTTGGAAACCATTCAGCCGATGAATGGTTTCCAAACCATTCCAGGGGCGATAAGCCTAGCTAACGTTACAGGGATATTCCACCATTTGGGGAATTAAGCTCATTTTCCACCTCCCCTCGAGTAAAACAATTGTTTTTTATCGTTTTGGAAACCATTCAGCCGATTTCCGGTACCACTTTTAGCATAGCTTAACGTAATTTATAGGTATGACGACAATACTAGGGGTGGAACGGTACACAGAAGTCACGGTTCGGTTCATACCTTGGTTCAGACATCACGGTTCGGTACGATGGAATGAAAAGCAAAACAAAAATATAGAAGGCATTTTTATAAATGTCTTAAGCCTTGAATTTTTATTAATAAAGGCTTAGAACCAGTTTATTTGTAGTGCACTGACAATAGTTTTATACAATTAGTTTATTAATTAAATTAATAAAAAGACAAAAAGACCTTGAGATATGTTTGGTAATTGTACCTGAATGAATTTAAAATTAATTTGCTATATTTCAGATCAATATATTTGTTTTCCTTAATTTTAATTAACCCTAACTTTATTCTCATCTGAATTATAAATAATTGATTTCCGTATAAAATAGTACTACCATCAAAAACATCTTTTTTAATCAATGTAGAATGTGCAACTTAAAATAAACAGATTAGAGCTCTGTTTGAGGACAAGAAATAAAAACCAATGCGATATGATGAATGTCCAAAAAATGGAACCCACAGACTGTTTTGAAATGGGGTTGGATAAATATGTTTTGCTTTTAAAACTGTGTGTGTGTTTTTGGTTGGGTGACAGTTGTAGGTTACAGTTTGACAAGAGTTTATAGTTTGACAAAAGCACAATGTTGTATTTTATTGCGAGTGTACACAAATAAGTAAACACTTTGCAGTTTGAATAATGTCCTGTATTAACAAAATTACGGAGTATGTTTTTATGTTTCCACTGTTCGATCGCGCCCGCGCCTCTCTCTCCCACACTCACTCTCACACACACACACACACACACACACTCCAGCGTTGCAATCTTGACATCGCAGCCTGTTCATTATGCTGCGTTCACACCAAACGTGAATAGAGCGAAATTTATCGCTATCTAGAGTTTTATTTATTTTTATACCGTGTATTCTCTGTGCAAATTCGTCCACCGAACCGTGACGCCCGTACCGTTTCGGTTTAATACGAATAACTTACATGTACTGTTCCACCCCTAGACAATACAATATTATTGTAAATTATATCACATAAAAAGCGGTAGCTAACGTCAATTGAATCAAGCAAATAAATAGCTTTTGTTTTTGCTCCAAAAAGCTTGACTTACCTCGAATTTCACAAAAGATTCCTACACGTTATGAGTTTCCATCAGACTCACGTGGTGTCTCATCCAATGGCGAGCTCCGTAGACGCTGTGTGCTTCAAGATTCTGACGCAAGTGCTAAGATTCCGATTGGCCAAGAGAAAAAGTGCTAAGATTCCGGTAGGCCCAGAGAAATGTAAATTATAAGAATTATCCAATAATGTTTCTCAATTCTAGCCTGCATGGCATGCAGATGAAGGGCAGCCTAACCCCCATCCCCCCCATAAAAAAAAAAACTCCGGTTCTACGCGATTCACGTAAATGACCCAATTGACCAAGAAAACGGTGATTGTCGCCGAATAGCGACAAGTTTGCAGGTCTGCATTTAATATTTCTGTCTTAAAACAGCTGTCAATTATGAAATGTTTAGCTACGGTACTTGCATCTTATCTCGCACTTTATGACGATTAACAAATTATCTTGATGCTGTGGAAAATCCTTGCAGCACTAAAGTCGAGTTAATACTATATTAGGCAATAGTTTCACAACCTTTATTATACACACCTCTGAAAAATACAGAGGTCCAGACTTCGGTGACCTCATAGCTGGCTACAGCCATGCTTGTAACCAGGCTTGACTTACTACAGGTAAATAATGCGAAATATCTCACCTGTAGTAAGTTACCAAAAACCCTTTATAAAAATAAAAATAATTGTGTATTGTAAATACATGAAGGGAGGTATTGGCACAATTTCACTTGTAGTAATTCTGTCTTACTAATAGTAACCTTCTACAAGCTTTGGAATTTGAAAATGTCTGTTTTTAAATGTTAAAAGTACTTTTAAATAATAAATGAAAGGCTACACTGCAAAATATTTCGTTGTCAATTTACAATAAATAATTGGATAAATTTTGCATGACTTTCACAGTAAAGATTACAGCAATATACTGTGAAATATACTCACAGCAATTTACTGTAATTTTATATCTGTGATATTACAATGCATTGTTGTAAAAGCACAACTGTATACTGTAACTTCACAGCTTCAATGACAAAGCAATTACTGTGATATTACAGTACATTACTGGGGAATTACAATCTTTTGCTGTACATCATTACAACAAGGCCCTGTACTTTTACAGTGTGTGCTGTGAAAGTAATGTACAAGTTGACAATAATTTACTGTGAATTTACAATGTATACTGTGGAAGTCATGCTAAAATTGTCCAGTAACTTACTGTAAAAGTAATGCAGATGAAGCTTCCATTTACTGTGAATTTACAATCATTGTACAATTAACCCCCTCCCCCCAACAAACAACTCTGAGGTAAAGTCAATGTTTGCCCAAAGGCATATTTATTAACAAATAAATATTTTTCAATGTACAGCAGATGCCAAGAACTTCAAGAAATTCAACTTTCTAGTGATAAAAGCCATCTTTACATGCAG